TTAAACATTACAACACTGTGGTATCACAGTGTTGTAATGTTTAACAAACGAAGGGATTCCACATGATACCAGTGTTGTAATGTTTAACAAATGAAGGGATTCGACATGATACCAGAGTGTTGTAATGTTTAACAAATGAAGGGGCGTGGAAGTTGGTCGGGCAGAGTGACGTTTCACAAGTATTTTGTCCTTTCCCGACAATAATGTTGAATTAATCATGTGTATCATTTCTCTCTACAACATCCTTATTCGTCTAGACACCAAACACAAGTAAATTGGCAACGTGCCATTAGTCTCGACCATCTCGCGTGAACCTGTGTTGGAAAACGTTAGCATTAGTTTTATGACTGCACCTGTTGCATTGCGAATTGATATTTTGAATGACGTAATCAACTGTATTACTCTCCCTCAGCCCCATCCCAAATAGCAGCCTCAATGATGTTTACATTTCATCTTCCAAAACTCAATAACCCCCATCCTCAGATACGATTCACAGTTCTCTGGTCTAGTTTTTCTAGAAAATAAGGACGGAATACGAGGATTTTTATAGTCAATTAGAAACAAGTGTATTTTTATATAAATAGAAAAAATTATAGATCAAAGAGGATAAAAAATAACTGGGTTGAACTGTGTGGGAACTTGGTATCGCCTAGCTACGCCCTTGCAACTTGACAAGTGATTTCGAGTGTCTTTGTAGCGATTCATTGGTTTAACCAGTCCCACACCCTATCGGTGTAATTAGACATTATTACGTCATCACAGATTATTCCAAGTTACGCTCAGCCTAAAATAGAGCTACGTTATATTTCTGGTGTTTCGAGTAGTTTTTACTCACTCCAGTTAACCTGTATTTATGTAGAATATGAAATATTCTCCGAAACCGATGATATATAACGAGTTGAATGATAGATTGGACTTCATATTTATTTTATGTAGAGATTCAACTCGCAAGGTGACGTCCAATTTTACGGTGAGAAATATATCATTCGGCAACTAAAACTGTTAACTTTTTGTCTCGTGGTTGAATTTTTAAATAAAGATTAGCTGTTTTTGTTATTTGTTTAATACACATCTTTCAACCATTAAACACGTAACAAGATGTTATTGCGTTTCATAATGATATCAAAACAGTTGTACAATACTTCATATTGAAACGAAATAAAAATACATTAGCACAGTAATACTTTTCAGGGCTTAATTTACAAATGTAACTGTTTCTTTTTAGTTCACCTATAGTAGTCTGTTTTAGCGTTTATCTGTCAAAGTTATAAAAGTTAACGTACTAGTTTGTGGTGTATCTCTTCTCCATTTTCTGTTTTGAAGAACGGTGAAGCTGAAGGTTAAGAGAAGCAGAACCCGTGCGTTAGGTCAATATGAATGTTAGGGTTAGGAGAAGATGACTGCTAGCGGTAGAAGAATGAGAACTTTATGAGTTTATGACTAAATGCTAGAGTTAGGAGACTGTAAATTTTAAGGTTAGGCGAAATTGAAAGTTAGGGTTAGAGGAAGATAACTGCCAGGGAAGAAAGAGATTGAACAATGAAGTTTCAGTAAAAAGTGAACACTGGGGCTGAATTGTTTGTTATATGCAATTGGCATTTGGTTTATGCATTTAAAAGAATGTCACCTTGTTAAGTGGATTAGTAACTGAGTACTTTGATAGATTATTTAGTCAGAGTATTCATGATGAGTAAACTGGAATGGACGGCAACTACCTGCTGTAGAAAACATAAGTGTTAAAGACGACGTCACGAAAGTCTTCAGGTTCTTTACATTTGTGTTTTTACAACAGCCAGTTTACACATCATAGTGATTGAGTTATTTTAAATAAAGGAAAACCAGTCACGATTAAAAACTCCCAATTTTGGATATTAGTCACAGATAATCAGAGCATGCAATAGATACTAATGAAAACATCGACATGATACTAGTCGTAGCCTGCCACGAATACTAATCAAAATTCAGGATGATACTACTCACAGTCTAAAATGATTAGTCGTCAAAACTCGACAAGGTGTAGTCACAAGTGAGAAAAAGAGGTAACACTAGAGAAGTGTCCACCTTGAAGATGATTTATTCAACATTTCAAACCTGTACTCTTCATTATGTGATATTTGAACAGTGGATGAAGGACTTAGGCTCGAAACGTTGTTTAATAAATCACCTCCTTCATTTACATATTTCTTGTGTTAACTTTTTTTTTCTCATTTGTAACACTTTTGTGTGTGCAGCTTCTTTTATTATTATTTTTTTAAATTTTAAACATGTTATTAGTCACAGCCTACCGGGGATACTAGTCAAAACTCGACATGGTACTAGTCAAAACGTACTGTTGATACTAGTCAGAACTCGACATGGTACTAGTCAAAACGTACTGTTGATACTAGTCAGAATTCGACATGGTACTAGTCAAAACGTACTGTTGATACTAGTCAGAACTCGATATGATACTAGTCAAAACCTACTGTTGATAGTAATCAGAACTCCATATGGTATTAGTCAAAACCTACTGTTGATACCAGTCAGAACTTGATATGATACTAGTCAAAATGTACTGTTGATACCAGTCAGAACTTGATATGATACTAGTCAAAACGTACTGTTGATACTAGTCAAAACATTGAAGCGGCGAGTTCATTTTAGACCGTTGCAGTCGGCATGCCATGGATACTAATGAAAATTATAGACGGTATACAAGTCACAGCATGCCATGGATACTAATGAAAATTATAGACGGTATACAAGTCACAGCATACCATGGATACTAATGAAAATTATAGACGGTATACAAGTCACAGCATGTCATGGATACTAATGAAAGCTAGAGACGGTATACAAGTCACAGCATGCCATGGATACTAATGAAAATTATAGACGGTATACAAGTCACAGCATGCCATGGATACTAATGAAAACTAAGAGACGGTATACAAGTCACAGCATGCCATGGATACTAATGAAAATTATAGACGGTATACAAGTCACAGCATGCTATGGATACTAATGAAAATTATAGACGGTATACAAGTCACAGCATGCCATGGATACTAATGAAAACTGTAGGAGGTATACAAGCCACAGCATGCCATGGATACTAATGAAAACTAGAGACGGTATACAAGTCACAGCATGCCATGGATACTAATGAAAATTATAGACGGTATACAAGTCACAGCATGCCATGGATACTAATGAAAGCTAGAGACGGTATACAAGTCACAGCATGCCATGGATACTAATGAAAG